TGCGATCTTAAATGGAAAACTAATACGGAATATATTACAAAGAAAGCGGCCAAGCGTCTGTATTTATTAAAGATCTTGAAGAGTTATGGTGCCCCCATGGATGATTTGTTAGCATTTTACTGTTCAGTAATTCGTCCTATTTTAGGATATGGTGCAGAGATTTGGAACGGAGGTCTAACCCAAGAGGCAAGAGCAGAAAGAGAGCATTGAACGAATTCAAAAACGAGTACTTAGAATAATTTACCCAAACCTAGACTACGAACAAGCAATAACTGAGACAAAATTACAAACTTTGGAAGAACGTAGGGACGAATTATGTGTATCTCTAATTAAAAAAAATGCTGGAACCAAACCATAAACTTCATAGCCTCTTACCGATGAAACTAAAATACATTAGGCAAAAAGAAACAAGAACTAACAGTCAGAAATTATATAATTTCCCCTCTAAAACCGAACGTTTTAAACACAGTCCTTTAGTTTACTGTATACTTATATAATTCTAGATTAGTTGATTAGAATCATCATTTTTAACATTTTATCAGTTAATGTACAAATAGGTATGCATTAGTAGTTTTTATACATATTGTAAATAGATATAGATTAGTAAAACTTTAATTTTAATGAATGACATGTAAATATATAGAATATATACCTTTTTATACCCAAATTTGTAAACACATTGTAAATTAGCGTAACTACTACTAAATGTGTTAATAAACCATTACCATTACCATTACCATTACCATTACCATTACCAAAAACAAGAATGTGTCCACAGATCAATGTATGTCAGGTATAAGTATATCTAACAACTGTATTTCTAAATTGAATAACTAGAATATTGAAATAACAGGTCTGTCAAAGCTCAATCCTATGCGTATAAAGAAACTTCCAGTGCGATCACGATATGCATTATTTTATAACGACGTCTGCACACAAAAGCATGTTACTGCCTTTACTACCACTGGTTGCCATTTACGTCACCGTGACCGTGAACCGAGTAGAATACAAGTAAAATGGTTAACTAGGAAGTTTGGAAAAAGTCGATTGTTGAGAAAACGTCTCAGACATAAGATCAAAAGGTCTGTACCCAGATCCTCTCATCTTCATTATATAGTAGAGAATATTATGCATTGTTAAGACATTAGGATGAAGTGTATCCCTGATGTTTACTGCCCAAAGAAGGTTCACAAGAAATGCTGCACAAATCGCTCAGCAAAAGATTTAACATTTTATATTTGTGGATATATTGCAGATATATTCTATTTATCAGGTTCGACTCATGATTTATATGCACAACAGGTATACAAAAATGTCAACCACTTAAAGAATGTCTGTCAGTCAGCATTATCTACAGATATTGAGACGAATCCTGGACCATTATTCTATATTGATCCCAGCAAGACAATCAGTGCACCATATAGCCAAGGTAATCAGGTTATATTTGGAGAAACAGCAGGACAGCAGTGTTTAGCAATGTGTTTATGTGCTCTTATATGCAACAAAAGACAGAACATATGCTCACCACAAGACCTGGTTAATATAATGAATATTGGTAATGAACTATACTCAAACTTATCATGTTTAGCACAGCAATCATTTTTATTGTTTACAGAATTGCCTTCACAACTTACAGTATTTGACACAGATTATATTTTTGAGCACAGTGAGAGCTATAGCGGTAATGTAATTGGAGACTGTTCTATTGAAGGGTATCAGTACTGTGTTCCATTTCACAGATCATTTGAATTGCTCCTGGCTGAAAACTATTCTGCATTCATTTTAACAATTGACTCTAATGCTGTTTGCATATTTTACACCAATGATGCAAGTATAACATTTTTGACTCTCATTCAAGAGACATTTATGGCAGAAGTCATCCACAAGGTACATATGTGTGTGTTGTTGGAGGCACCAAATATCAACAATGTAATTCTGTATTTCCAGTCTTTATGCAGTGAAAACAGTCAATTTGAGCCACGGGCAATAGGACAGGTGTAGTGTTGTTAAATAGAAAGTTAGAAATGGTATTATACTTACTCATGCATTATAATTATGTTTAAAAGATCAGAATATTCATAACTTCTTATTTTGTTTCATAAATAGTTCTTTAATATTCGAAACAAATTCCACTTCTGCTTCGTCTGCCATCGCCATGTTTACTCGTCCCAATCTACATGCTGCACGGCATTGCCGCCCCTCCTGGCAAAATAATAAGCAAGCGAGAAAAATTAAGGAGAAATAAGAGGGTAGGAACATTGTGGGCGTTTCGTGGGCGTGTCATCGTTCTGGGCGAATCGGCTTTCGCAATCTTGTATCACATGACTAATTCAAATTGTCATAGGCGGGAAGCAGCATTACGTCATCCCTACGTCAAATAAA